AAAAAAAATGCACAGCCTAAAAGTTGAGAGTTATGTTTTATTCAGCAGACAAAACTGAGGCCTGAAGCCCAGGACACAGCCTCTCAAATACCTCTAAGGGACTGTTCTGAAGAAGTAAGGGAGGAGCCAGGACACACGGAGTTTTTGCAACAAAGACCAGGTAGTTGGAACGTCAGAAGGTTACTGTTATCTAAAAAAGGGTACAAATTAACTTATCTACAAAACAGAAATAGAGTTACAGATGTAGAAAACAAACTTATGGTTACCGGGGTTGGGGGGAGGGATAAACTGGGAGACTGGGGTTGACATATACACACCACTATACATAAAATAGATAACCAATAAGGACCTACTATATAGCACAGGGAATTCTACTCAATACTCTGTAATGGCCTATATGGGAAAATAATCTAGAAAAGAGTGGATATATGTATAACTGATTCATTTTGCTGTACACCTGAACCTAACACAACATTGTAAATCAACTATACTCCAAAAAAATTTATTTATTTTTTAAAATATTTATTTATTTATTCATTTATTCATTTTGGCTGCACCAGGTTTTTTTTTTTTTTTTTCTGTTGGTTTGTATTTTAATGATTTGCAATACTTGTGTGGTATATTTGTGTGGTTTTTTTTTTTTTACATCTTTATTGGAGTATAATTGCTTTACAATGTTGTGTTAGTTTCTGCTATACAACAAAGTGAATCAGCTATATGTATACATATATCTCCATATCTCCTCTCTGTTGAGCCTCCCTCCTACCCTCCCTATTCCACCCCTCTAGGTCATCACAAAGCATCGAGCTGATCTCCCTGTGCTATGCAGCAGCTTCCCACTAGTCAACCGCTTTACATTTGGTAGTGTATATATGTCAATGCTACTCTCTCACTTTGTCCCAGCTTCCCCTTACCCCCTCTCCGTGTCCTCAAGTCCGTTCTCTACATCTGCGTCTTTATTCCTGCTCTGCCACTAGGTTCATCAGTACCATATTTTTAGGTTCCATATATGTGTGTTAGCATATGGTATTTGTTTTTCTCTTTCTGACTTACTTCACTCTGTATGACAGTCTCTAGGTCCATCCACCTCACTACAAATAACTCAGTTTCATTCCTTTTTATGGCTGAGTAATATTCCATTGTATATATGTGTCACAACTTCTTTATCCATTCATCCATTGATGAACGTTTAGGTTGCTTCCATGTCCTGGCTATTGTAAATAGTGCTGCAATGAACATTGTGGTACATGACTCTTTGAATTATGGTTTTCTCAGGGTATATGCCCAGTAGTGGGATTGCTGGGTCATATGGTAGTTCTAGTTTTAGTTTTTTAAGGAACCTCCATACTGTTCTCCATAGTTGCACTGGGTCTTAGTTGCAACATGTAGGATCTTTAGTTGCAGCATGCAGCCTTCTTAGTTGTGGCATGAGAACTCTTAGTTGTGGCATGCATGCAGGATCTAGTTCCCTGACCAGGGATCGAACCCAGACCCCCTGCATCGGGAGTGTGGAGTCTTACCCACTGGACCACCAGGGAAGTCCCTAAAAAAAAATTTTTTTAAAGAGTTACTGTTTTTTAAAGAAAACCAGATATCTCAAGTTAAGGAATTTGGCACTTTTCTATGCATGGGAAGATGCAAGAGCCTGGGTTCACTGAAATCATTCCTTTGATATGCACCTCAGCTATCTGGGGCCAGTATCCTGTGCTTTCTCATGCTGAGTCTCCTCAGGATGTGCCATTAGGAGTGGCTGAAGTGTGATAGCTTGATGGCTGCAACATCCCTTATTTACTGATATGGCAGGCAACATTTTTTTTCACCGACAATATCGATAGGGAAAAAGATAATTAAAACTATGAACATGTAATTACAAATGTGTACAGAGAGTCAGAAGGTTTCCTGAGTCGCTTTGAAGGAGCGCTTCTCTCCTATGGTCACTCAGAGGATACAGCTGACAACCAAGCTCACAACCTGATTGTAAATGTCGTAGAGTCACAGCACTAATTATAAATCAGACCCTCCATCTCTATTATACTAAGAGAAAGGCAATTATCAGGAAACAACAGGCCGCATTGGATGTGATATTTTGGAAGATAATGATGAAGTTAAGAACTTTGAATCTCCAAATTCTCTTGAACACTTACCTCACAGCAAATATTGACTCTCTTCACACTCATACCCTCCAGTGGAACATGGAATTGGATGGTGAAATTAGGCAGTTATGATAATCAGTTTATGCCTAGCAACCGGCTTCAGAGGGAAAATTCAGATGCTGCATCTTATGGTATTCCTTTATTTTTTTTTCTACTCTTTTCCCCATTAGTTCCTTATATGAAGAATAGCAGAAATAGCTAAAATTTTAGACTCTGGGAAGGAATATGACAATTAATGTTACCCCATGATGATGCAATAGTTTATGAGATTTTGTTCTCACTGGTTGCAGATAAAGGCTTTCCACCCAGACAAAGACAACACTGGGTGCCAAGAGGCAAAAAGGGCTGACTCTTTTTGTACTACAACAAAAAGCCTCCCATACCCTCCGACTTCAGGTCAATGGGGAGCCTAGCAAAAGGTAGGAAGTAGGGAAGACAGTGATGGCAGGGAAGTTACTTCCTTGGCTTCTTTCTGGCGAAGTTACGTAGGGCTGGCTATACTCTCAGTGGAAAAAATCCCTGCTCATCCCCAGGTGGTCTTCTGTTCTCATCACTTCCTTGGTGAGTCCTCCTTTTAGGTCTCAGGACATGCATGGGGTAGGGGAGGGGAGTAAGAGCTCTGTTGTGGGTGGTCCCAGGTCCCTGCATGATCCAGTTGTTTAATAAATTCCATTCACACCTTGGTCATTAGTCCCTTTGTAAATGAACCTTCCTTAAGTTACTCTGATGTGAGTGGGCCATCTGTTTCCTGTGAGGAAAGACCCTGACTGACACTTAGATGTCTGATAACAAACATGCCAAAACCAACTTTAGAATATGCAGAGGCAAATTTGGCAGGCTTCTCTGTTTGAAAAAAAAAAGTTCACTAAGAATTTTCCTCTATTCTGTATCTTTTCTGAAAAGACATCACTGAATCTCTAAGAGAACATAGGTTTTGAGCTCCAACCATTTCTGAAATGATACTGATGTTATCCATGAGTGCTGCCGAATCTCCAGGTCATGTCTGCAATATAGGATGATGCTTCGGAAGCTTTTAGTGAAGGTAATCTTTTCTAGAAACCTTAAAAAGGTCTACGAATACAAAATCATTTACCATACCAATGAATACAAAGCTGTTTACCATAATTACCCTTCAAATTCCTCTTCTCATTTTATGTCTGGGTACTCAGTCTAAATAAGCATGACATCATCATGTAAATCATGAGAATTTTCAAGTAGTGATGGTGGATTTTTACTGATCCATTGGATCTCTCTTGCTTATTTCTCTCTGGTGACTAATGGTGAGTAACCAGAGAAGGTAACTCATGTGCAGCTAGGTTTGCTATCTGGTTACCTACCTAACAGTGGGTTAATCAACTGTAGCAAAGACTAGAAAACATTCCAAGTAATTAAAATCCATTAGGTTTGCTGGCTCTTACCTAAAAATCTAAAACAAAACAAAACAAAAAGCAAACAAAAATAAGACAATAACATTGTCCTAAGCTGGAATTAGGTTTGTTGTTTATCTTTTGTTGTCTGACACATTTATTAATTCAGCCAACATTTGAACATCAAGTCTCAGTTTAGGTACTGATGATGAAACAATAAAAGAAAAAAGAAAAAAGAAAATAATACACAAATCCTCCCTTTGGAGAAGTTTCTAGTCCAGTTGGGAGGAAGCAATTACAATATAAGTACCATGGTAAAGGTAAACCATGTAACACATAGGAGGGGCATCTAAGTCAGGTGGGAGATGGTCCAGAAAAATCTTCTTAGAGGCATCACATAGGAGAAATGTTTTGGAGAATAAATAGTATTAGATAGGCCAAGAAAGGGGACAAGGACATCCCTAGGAGAGGGACAGATACAGACAAAGATGCAAAGATCTGAAATAGCATGATGTGTTCAGGGAACTGCCAGGGGTACTTTATAGCTGGAGAAAAGGGTGAGTATGAGAAGGTGACTGGTCAGGAAGCAAGAGAAATAGAAAGGAACAAGGTTCCAAAGCCTGGAGCAAGGCTACAAAGTTTACACTTCACACAAAGTTGTAGGGCTGTATTATTCAGAATGCCAGCTGCAAGTATAGTAAATGGTTTCAAAAGAAAAAAATGGACTGGCTTAACTGTAAATCCATGATAGGGTTGGCTTCAGGGTTAGCTAAATCCAGAAGCTCCCGTGATTTCCTGAAGTTTACTTTCCTCTATGTGTTGGGTCCAACCTTGGACTATAAAAATGTCTCATGGGGGCAAAATAAATGTCACTGTCCTTGGATTCCTTTGTACATACCATAAGGTCCAGAGGAAGATAAGAGTCTTCTATCCTGGCATTTGAAGCAAGAGTTCTGAGATTCACCCAGATTGAAACATTTTAAGTCACATACCCACCCTTAGACCAAACAGGGTTCAACCCTGGGAGTGGGAAAATTTCCAATGAGGCATGTGTGTCAAATTCTCAAAAAGTAATTATTTCACAAGTAATGGAACTACCCTCTTTTTAACACTACATTTTACTAAAAAGCTCAACTAGTGCTGTCTTAGAGGCTTTACTTTTATCCACCTTAGTAAGCCACATGGTCAAATGATACTAAGTCCTGGAGAAAAAGGTGACACGTTATAAATCAACTGGAATTTCATTATGCTAGATATTTTAATTATGCACGATGGGCACCAGAATTCCAATGCTTGTTCTTCTTTTCTAAGGAATTAGTGAGAACTTTTACCCAGAATCAGTATGGCCAAGAACAGTGTCATAGAATCTAATATGAGTCCTTTGAATGTGGGTTGTACATTATTCTGTATTGGCCAATCCATGCTGAGATGTCCAAATTTTGCTTCTGGCTTGTATTATTGAATCCCTACTTCTTTCTAGGTTTTCTTCAACATACAGTCTTTGAGGATGGCGTCTTTGCCATTTGATTTCTTGAAGAGCTTGCTTCCCTCTAATGTGCTTTGCACAACGTGGCCTGTGCCCTTTCCACGCATTTGCTTTGGTGGCTGTATCTTCCCTCGGGTGAGTTGCTTGCTCTCACCTCAGTGGTGGCAGATGCATTTTAAGCCCCTTTTGTGAGAAGTTATTTTTGTTAGGAGTTTGCATTGTTCACAGTACTTTGACATGTGAAGAAAAAGAATACTAAACACAAAAAGATGAAGCCATTCTTGACCATTACTTAATGTACAAGATTAAGGATATATCTCTACTAACTAACTTTGTGAATGTTTAAATTGATGTTTGTTGAAGTTCATTTCACATTTGTATTAATAATAGTAGATTATTTTCTTCCCTTTTAAACTGGTTACCTTGGTTTTTATTGGTCCTTAATGTTGATCTGTATCTGGACAGGACTGACTAACCTCTTCCCAGGTATTTCCAACTTCTAACAATGTTTGGGTCAACTCTTGCACATGACTCATATTGATTATACATTCATTGTAATATCTTCTCCATTAGGTAATAAATTTCTTAAGGGTGACATTAGTGTTTTCCTTCTCAGCTATTCTATATACTTTCTAGTGCTTGGAGGGCTAGATCTTCAATGAGTATTCAATATATAATTAAGACATGTTTTTAAAACCAAGTCAGGAAAAGTGTTCTTAACCATAGTCCTTTTATTTGGATAAATGTTTAAATCAAGTATCTTACCTAAAGATGAACTATCCAGTATTAAATTATGTCGGATTCACTAATGATGTTCTTCTTAGGAAAGATACTCTCCTGTAAAGATGATTTCCATTCACCATCTCTGTTGATGACTTCAAGTACAGAGTTTGGGATTTTCTTATGAAATATGTAGAGAATTCTAAATTTACAGGGGTAAAAAAAACAGGTACACGTAAACTGGTCATAATACTTTGCAAAAGTGACCTTATAAAAGTCTCAGGGATTATATTATGTTAATGTATGTAAGACTTTTTTTTTTTTTTTTTTTTTTTTTTGCGGTATGCGGGCCTCTCACTGCCGTGGCCTCTCCCGTTACGGAGCACAGGCTCCGGACGCACAGGCTCAGCGGCCATGGCTCACGGGCCCAGCCGCCACGCGGCATGTGGGATCCTCCCGGACCGGGGCACAAACCCGCGTCCCCTGCATCGGCAGGCGGACTCCCAACCACTGCGCCACCAGGGAAGCCCTGTAAGACATTTTTAAGGTCATAAGTCATAAGATTTAGTCCAAAGGTGACCAATATAATAAATAAAAATAGAGTGTAGAATCACCAAAGAGCTATATCATGCAGCATTTTTTATTGCTAAGAGAAAAAAATTATTTGTTGCTTTGAAAGTAATGATATTTCTTCACATTGTTCTCATTTCATATTTTTAACAAAATACTTTAAAATGGAGTACTCTTTTATTGTAATATCAATTTTATCCCTTTTGCTTCAAGGAGTATATCCCATAATCAGAAGAACTGTACACCCTAAGGCATAAGTTGCTCACCCTTTATTTGGATAGCCACCTGATGAACTCAGTGGATTTTCTGAGGTCCTTTTCAGGTCATTGTCCTATTATAATTGTGAGAAAGGAATGATTACTGCGTAGAATAGCAAAAAATTGTTAATAATTTCTCCTCCCTATATCCTTTGAACCCCACTGAAGTTTATACTTCATTTGTTTTGCATTGCAGTTAACTTTATACTTGTCTAACTCCTTCATTTTTCTATCTTTAAAGGTAAGGACATATATCTTCTCTTTTCTTACATCAGTAATAAAAGTTCTTTTCATATAAAAGGGAGACCCTAACATTTGGTGAGTTGATTGTCTGGAGAACCATGTAAAACCCACTCTTACTGTTAACTAGCCACGTGATTGATTTTTGATAAATCACTTAATCCTCCTGGGCCTCAGTTTCTTCATCTGTAAAATGAAGGAGTTGAACCAGCTAATCCTGAAGACATGTTCCAGTTCTAAAATGCTACAGAGTATATGATGGCAATAACCAAGCATTATTCTTCCCTATCAACATAACGCCACTAGAAATCTATGGAACATGTTTATATCCCAATATATTTAGATTTCATCTGCTATTAATCATCTACAAGTTACAAGATAGTTTGGATTCCACAGTTTTATTTAGGCTCTTTCCATTAACAAATGAGCTGAATCGTATTGGTTTAATGCATTCTGATCGCTGCTCCTACTCTGTGCCAAGTCTGGGTAAAGGGATCCTTCCCTGTAGGTTAAGTCACTCTAGAGAGATGTTGCACCTCCTGTAAGAATTTTTGGATGCAGTATTTGCATTACTTTGCCATGTTTCCCCAGGCAGGAACTTGTCAGGTGATGTAGGCAAAAGAATTCAAGATGCAAGTTTTGTTTGTACTCTTTTTTTTTTTCTTGACTTTCTAACCTGTACTGAAGCAAGTGATCAAGCTCTCCCCAGCCCCTACCCAGTTTACCTATTAGGGAAAACGGAAGGGGGGGTGCAAAAGCTGCTGACTCTCAGGTGTACATGGTAAAGACCAATGTGAGTAAGGGTTCATTTTAGATTAAATGTATTCTGAAATAATGAGTTTCCCAAATTTCTAAAACTACATATTTTCTTTAGCTCTGCATTCTGAAACAAAGCACACACAACTCCCCCCAACCCCACACACACACTTTGCAGAGCTGCACTTTGGCACCGAGGGTGTGACTGCAAAGTCATAATAAACGAGTAGCCAACAAAAACCACTTAATGAGGCCCACCTATACAGTGTGACCCAGCACAGGATAAGCCTTGCTAAAATATTTCACCTGGCATGGGTTCAAGTTTTGAAGTTGAATGAGTCTGCTTTTGTTTCTCACTAAGTTGGGAAGAAAGAGGACTTGTTGTGGAGGAGAGCAAAGGGAGGAATGAGTTAAGTCCTCAGCATCTGTAGTTCTTTTGCTTTGCTTCTTTTCAAACAAGCGCACCACATTGAATAGCATGTGGAAAATTGGCATTTCCAGTGAATAAAAATTAACTGGCAAACAACAAAAGGAAAAACTGAGGAATGCTGTTTGGCTTGTCTTGTCTTGTCAGAGAAAGAACACGTGTGAATCAAATGGTTTAAGATGAATTTCACCTACACGTCTGGCTCCTGTTCAGATGTTTTTAGATTTCTTACTCAAGTTTGTTTACTTGGTAGGTTTTTTTTTGAAGTATAATTTTTCTGTAAGTTAAGAACAAAAAAGGAGAGGACCATAAAAGTAGTATGGGTGAACAACTGTTCAAATGTTCCACTTCAAAAAACTTCCTCACTTTTGTTTTCTTTTGGGGAGACATTTAAAAATTTATGTGAAAAGCCAGAAAACTAACAATAGTATTGTAGAGTTCTGGCCTTTGGAGAAGATTGCTAATCTGATATTTTCATATGAAAGTATGTGTTTTTAAGAAAACATATAAAACGTTTTTCAATATCAAAATACTTTTCTTCATGCACAATAAGTCCCCCCCCCACCGCTGCCACCCAATATGCTGTATGCACTTAAAATATTTGAAATTAAAACCTCATTTTATTCTAGGGAATTTAGAACTGTTCATTTGCCTCCCTGTGTTGTGAAGTTATCCACTGACTGAATGTGTTTGATCTTAGTAAAAAGTAAAAAGCTTAGTAAAAAGCCTCATGGCTGTCCTGTTCCTCGCTATCTTCCTTTGAGGCAGAAAACCATCTGACACAAAATACAATTTATATTTTCATTTAAAGAAATGACCCTCTGAATACAGAACAGACAGCCTTTGTCATGCCAAGTCTATCATGACTTGTGATGGAATCAATTAATCAAAGCAGTTATCTGGTGAAAGAACATATGTTCAGTGACAGAGATCAACTTTCCTGAAGAATAGCTTCACGAAAAGTTGCACAAGTTTATATTTTAGTGACAAGGATGTCAAACAACTCATCACGTATGTAAAATAAATCACCACCAAGACATTTTCAACAATACCAAGGTCATGGGGTTTTCACTACTCTCAGACAATGTCATTAAATTATAATGACTAATGGTGCATTTCAAACAGTGTATAACTTTCAAAATAACTGGACATTAACTTCAAGGGAAAATATATCACAAGGGAAAAAATTCCCTACAAATGATACTGCTCAATAAAGCCAGACTTCATAATTTGATATCAGGTTGTAGCCATCTGAAAGGTAGGAACTTTAGGATGAGAGACTGGCTGAGTTGTAGGGGAACTTAGGTCACTCAATGTAACTATGTTACTTCACGGATGAGGGAGCTTAGGTTTAATGATAGCAAGTGACTACACAAGTTTTGAGCAAAGCATGGTGAAGACTCAGTTTTCCCAACTCCCAGCACATTACACTACAGCACATTTCATGTAGTTTCTGGGTGATATACTTGTCTGCATTTCATATCAGTGTCTCTGGCCTCTAGAGTTAAAAAGAGAGATGTATCTGGATTGGAGCTGAGGAGACTAGAATGGATGGCACACTAACTTTCCTTTGGCAGTGCCTCTCCTGAGCTTAGAATCACATGACTGCTCACTCTAAATAAGAGTAAGGTGAAAGGAATATTTTACTGTCTTTTGAGGAGAACCAGAAGCTCAATTCTTAGGAAAGAAACATCTTTGCCAATAATTTTATCATTTTGATGAATTTCTGCTAGAAGTTAACAATATTGTTTTGAAGGCAAATACTCCTGCAAAAGCAAAATAAGAAAGAGAACTGCTGTTATAGTTTTTTTTCAGTGACCTGTTTTTCAGCTTAGTTTCTCTGTGTGTGTGTGTGTGTGTGTGTGTGCACGCTTGTGTGTGCATACAAACTAAGTGAAACTATTTTTAAGTATTTGGATCACAAATAAAAAAAGAAAAATTAAGACAAATAGCCCTAATGTAATTTTTATGTTCTAAAATTGATTCACTCTGTGACTGTTTGTTTGATTTTATGTGTTATAAAATAAAGTTATAAGATTTAAAGCAGGGCATATTCAGCAGACTTTGAAAGGTTCGTAATTGTTGACTGTAGCAGCAGGTGATTAAGAAAGTGTTTAGAAACTATTTTGCATGGGCCTCCCAATTATTCATCATTTGAATCAGTCCAATGTGTTCAGCTTTCAAAGACTGGCTTAGTATCACTGCCAAACTGAAGCTGGCATCTTGAAAGCTTATTGAATCTTTGTGACCAAGTGCTTTGTTATTGTTTAAAATTTTTCAAAGTAAGAAACAATAATTATTGAAGATGGAAAAACACTTGCTTGTGAAAATAAGTTTTTAACACTGTTGCTCTAAGAATCATGTTCCATTTTGATACCTCCTATTTCTCTTATATACTGATGAATATGCAGCTATGCCTCAACACTTGTCTTCCTGGAAACTTCCCTTATCTTACTTTGGCTCATAATAGTTGACTTCCAGTACTACACGATACGGTATTTAAACCTCTAGGACACTAACACTGAAAGTATTATTTCTCATTACATTTTTTAAAGTTCACCTTCAAAGCCACTTAATAAAAGGCAACAAAACCAGAAGTTTTTACGTTCCCTTTCTCTCTCTAACCAGTTTAATTTTTCTTGGAAGATGTTGTTTGTTCATAATGTTAAAATAGGGAACTATTTTTTATGTAGAAAATAATGATTTATTTTCTGAACATGCAATATGCACAAATGGTGAATGATTATAAAACTTATATTGCCTACAAT